ACCGAGGCAGCCGGAGGCCTCGAAGCGCAGAACCCGGCTGCTTCCCGCCCGCGCCGTGTGCCGGGAGCCGGCGCGCCCCCGGAGGGTGAGCCGAGTCTTGTTTTTGTTGTGCGCCGAGCCGTGGCCGAGAGAGCACTCCGCCCGCCCACCCTGCACGCCCGCGTACTGTGGCTGCGCCAACAACAAAGATTGTTTCTTTTGCAGGACAACGAGCGCAGCCGTACGCGTAACTGACAGGGCCCGGCGGACAGCCGGGTCACTGGACTCCGAGAGTGGGCGGGCGGGGTCCCCAGGCGGGGTCAGCCTCAGCCAGTTCTCCCAGGGCCTGTCTGGAACCCCTCTTTCGGGACCGCTTCGCTGTTCACGGGTTGGATGCAAACAGGGATCGGATAGGCGCAGGGCTGGAGTCGGGACTGGGAGCTGGAGGGGAACCCAGAACTCGCGCGGATTGTCGGAAATCCGAGAGGACCAGCGGGGGGAGGGGGAGCGAAGGGCAGTGCGAGAGGACCCCGGGGATGTTGGGAGAGGCAGGTGGGAGGCAGGAGACGAAATAAAACGAAAGGAATTGGAGAGGCGCAGGACAGCGACACGGGAATGGCCACGGAGGAGAAGCTGAGGCGCGGAGAGTGGGGAGGAGGACGTGGGCCGGCGGGAAGGAGGGACGGGAGGTTAAGATCCGGGGAGGCGGGTCGGGTGGGTCTGGGGAGGCGCGGCCTGGCCGGGCGGATAAGGGTAGCGCCGGCTGCGCAGAGCGGGAGGCCGCGGCGTGGGGAGGGTGCAAGGCGGGCGCAAGGTGGGCCGGGCCGGGCCTCTCTCACCGCCACTTGGTCCTCCGGTTTTGGAACCAGGTCTTGACCTGCGCGTCCGTCATTTTGAGGGACTTGGCGAGCGCCGCCCTCTCGGCCGAGGCCAGGTACTTCTGGCGATGGAAACGCTTTTCCAGCTCACAGATCTGCACCCGAGAAAAGGACGTGCGCGGCTTCTTACGCTTGGGCGGCGTCCTGTTCTGGTACGGGTGGCCGATGCGCCGGGTCACCGTGAAGGGCGTGAGCGCCGCCGCGGCTGCGGAGACACACGAGGCCCCCTGAGGCCCAGCCCAGTTCCACTGTCGTTCGGGCCCCGCGAGGACCCCGTGCCGCCCCGTGGGGCGCAGAATGCTCCGCTATTTCGTTGGTCCCGCGTCTCCAGCGGCACGGAGCCGCTTAGGAGATGCCCCCCTATTCCCTGGGCACAGGTTTATCTCCCCGAACTCCCTGGTTTCCCTCCCCCTGCGGCTCCCCGGGGCCCTGGGCGCCGAGGCCTCCGCCGCGCTGGGGCCTCCGGAATCGCTTCCCGGAGCAGAGCACACAGGGCGCGGCGCCTCTAGCCCCGGGAGGGCCGAGGCCCGGTCTGTTCACCCGCCCTGCTCACCTGTGAAGCGGTCTTTCACGAAGCGGCGGCTGCTCTCCATCCATGGGAAATTGAGGCCGCCTAGGCTGGAGACCGCGGGCACGGAGGGCATGGCGGGCAGCGCGCTGGGCAGAGGCGGTGGCACGGCTCCGGGCAGCGGCCTGTGTGCTGGCACCCGGATTACGCCGGCGGGCGCCAGGCTCAGGTTGACACTGTAAGATCCCGCGTCCTCGAAGGGCGCGCCGAGACCCGCAAAGGAGGCGGGCAGCGAGGGGTACGTGGCGCCCGGACGGCCCCCCGGGGGCGCTCCCAGGTAGCTGGCGCCGTCGGGGCCCCGCGGGGCTGGTGCGCTGTCCTGGTCCGGGCTGTTGAGGATCTGGTCGATGCCGAAGCTGATGGGCTCGTGCGGGTGCGGGGTCTGCGCGCTGGCGGGCGCCTCCATCCTGGGCGGGTGGAAGGGCTGGGCTGGGCTGGGCGGGGAGGCTGCTGGGGCCCCGTCACGGCGCGGCCATGGAGCGCCCGGCGCCTCTCGTCGCACTGAAACTTTGCCAAGAGTGCGCGGGCCCGACAGGCTCTGTGTCATCTTTCTTGAACCGAACCTGGAGTTTCCGCTGCTAATTCCTCTCCCGCCGCAGCCATTGGCTGCGATCAACAAGCCTCTCTCCTCCCATTGGCTCTCGGCTTTCAATAAAGGCCTAATTCATGGAAATAGGAGCTTAGGGACTGTTCCAAGGTGACATCATTTTAACAAACGAACAATAGGTCAAATTTATTAGCCGGGATAATGGGCGGCGGATATTAGCGCCCGAACCGCAGCCTCCCAAGCCCGAAATCTAACGAAGCTGCAATTAGCAGACGCTCCCCGCTCCTCCCGGCCGGGCCGCTTCCCCGCCGCAGCTCGGGGCCGGTCTGGGCGCTCGCTCTCCTGGTGAAATTCTCTTTTGCTGAAGGGGTTTTCGTTTTCTTCCCAATTTTTTCATCTGAGCAAAAACCAAACCCTATGAATCCTTTCCATCACAATGGAGTTGCAACCCCGGGACGACCCTGCAGAACCGTGGACGCATCTTGGACACTCCAGCGCTGCGGGAGCAACGAAAGGGGCGCGCCCCGGGGTGCCAGCTGCGCGCTCCTTGCGCGCGGGGTGACGCGAGCACCACAGCGTGCTCCACGCTTCCAAGGACACCGACCCGCGTGGGCAGAATTCGCCCCCGCCTGGGCTTCGGCCGCGGCATCGCGACCACTTTGGAGACACTCCCTGGCTCCCGCCAGGCGGACCGAGGAGTGACTCACAGGTGCCCACGCGCGCCTGGCCCGGCTGGGCTAGGGACCCGGGGTGGCCCGGTGGGGAGCGGGGATCGGGCCCCTCGAAATTCGTTGCAAGATGGTCGGGACTGTTAGTCGCGCGTGGGGACCCGCCCGTGCGCAGCAGGTGTGGGGACCTAGGGTTCCCAAGGGCCAGGGCATGGGTGGCGATATTTAGGGCAATAGCGGGATTCCTGGGGTAAGGAGGAGCGGTGAGCTCCTCCCGCTCCAGTGCAGCCGGGGCGCTGAAACCACTCCCTGCTTTGCTCGCGCCCTCGGCGTTGAGGGGCAGGCCGAGGGGCACGGTGGACGGGCCGCTCGTGGGGCGGTCACCCCCACGCCAGCCTCCGCTGTCTCCCCTGGGGGAGACCTGCAGAATCGTTCTCCACCCGCTAGTTCTTAAACGGCTGGGTGCAAACTCACTGCTACACCCCCGGCCAGGCCTCTCCCTCGCGCTCCCGCCTGGCGGACTTGGGGAGAGGTCGGATGTGCGGTCGGCCAGGAATGAGTTTAAATCCGGGCCGGTCACTTCCCAGCTGAGTGACCTTGAGCAAGTGACTCCATGCCTTTCGGCTTTGGTTTGCTCATTTGTAAAAAGAGCAGCGCGTGCATTGCGGGATTGTCTGAGCCGGGAGTGAGGCTTGAGAGCGCCGGGCTGGGCCTGGCACACAGTAGGCACCCAGCCAGCAGCTGTGGCCAACCCCTCCCCCGCCCCCCCTCCCAACGTGATGGTTGATGGATGATTCTTATTATTCTTGTTTATTTGTTTGCAGTTTGATTTTATTTGCGGAAGCTCTGCATCTTGGGGAGAAGGATGGTTTTGTCTCCCGTGGGGTCAGTCTCAGAGGGTCAGGAAGGGCAGGAGGCCGCCTGTGGGGGATTCTTCCTAATCATCCGCCTGGACAAAGGGGAGGCCTCAGAATTCGGGATCTCCAGGCCTGGGTCCCTGCGGCAGGGCCCCGCTGGCTGAGCGGCCTTGGGCAAGTCTTTACCTTTCCTGGAGCCTCAGTATTGGGTGGGAAGAAGGAGGCGCTGGCAGCCTGGGGCGGGGCCTCCGCCACTCCCTCCAGGGACAGGCACCTGCAGATGGAGCAGAAGGCCAGGCCTCCGCTTCTAATTCCGGCTCTGCCTCTGGTGGGAGTGGGGGGCTGTTGGGCCCCTCATTGCCCCTCCTGGAGCCTCATTTTCCTTATTTGTGGCACGGAAAGGGTAAGCTACCCCCAGGGTGGCTGTGAGAAGTAAATGAGATGAAGCGCCCGCCCGTGAGAAGCGGGCGGTTAGATAACAGTAACTTCAATGCCAGCAGCCCAGCTGCCGGAGGCGGAGAGCGTGGTGCCAGGCAGGAAGGGGCACTGGCTTGCTCCTCACAAGAACCCTGTGAGGAAAGGACCATTACTGATCCCGCTTTTTACCTGACGAGGGAACTGAGGGTCAGGGAGCTCACGGGACTCCCAGGCCCCACTCAGGGGCCTCACCAGTTCCCCCGCCTTCCTGGCTTCCAGAGCCCTGGGTCCAGGCCTGTCCTTGCCACTTCCCGGTCTGTTCAGTTGGGATAAGGAGGCGCGCCCCACGAGTATGTGGGCACAGAACTAGGGAGACGCTGTGGGTGGGGTGGACGACGTTGCTCCCAGGGCATGGAGGGTAGCCCAGTGCTCAGAATTGGATTCCCACCTGTTTACCAGCTGTGGGTTCAAGGAATTATCCATCTTCCTTGTGCCTCCGTTTCCCCGTCGGGTAAAGCAACAGGACCCACGTCATGGGATTACATGAGCTCTTCCGGGGAAAGCATTCGGCACAGTGCCTGCAGGAAAGGGTAAAGCAACAGGACCCACGTCATGGGATTACATGAGCTCTTCCGGGGAAAGCATTCGGCACAGTGCCTGCAGGAAAGGGTGGCTGTCTGAGGCCCGGGGTGTCCGTCAGGCAGCAGTAGGCATGTGGGGCCAATGGTCACAAACCCTCTCCTTCCTGACCCAGACAGAGCAGAGCAGTCAGGAGGGGAGTAAACGGGGCAGCCACAATCCCTGGGACAGTGGTTCTCAAAGTGTGTTCCCAGGCCAGTGGCAGCCTCACCTGGGAGTTTGTTAGGCACATTCTTGGACCCCCGCCCAGACCCACTGAATGAGAAACGGGGGGTCGAGCTCAGCAATCTGAGCTTAACAAGCCCTCCAGGTGATTCGGGTGCTCATTCAAATTGGAAGCCAGTGCCAGAATATCGTCCGTCCCATCCGTTTTCAAATTCATGGCTAGAACGCCGTGGAATATTCTCTCATCGTTTGAAACTCTCACGTGATCTGAGTTCATATCGTCTGCAGTTCTGTCTGTGTTACTCAGTTGGGCCATAGGTCTGTCTTAAAAGACATTTATTTCATTATTTTCTTTTTTAATGTTTCAGGAGTGTTTTGATTTTTTAAAAATTAATTTCTTCTCTGTTGAAGTGAAAATTTAGTTCATTTCAAAAGTCTTTCTTATGTTTTTTTTTAAAATAAACATATTTAAGGTCATAAATTTACCTCTAAGCAGTTTTTAGCCAAATATTCTTTGATGCGTACTAGGTGTTCCTGAGATTGTGATTTTGCTGTCCCTGCTTACCTGCTATCAACTGAACAGTCACACACACACCTGAAAAATTAAATTCTAAGAACTGGGACCAGGTCTCCTGACTCCAGAAGGACTTCCGGGATGCAGTGCATTCTCTGCGCTTCCCAAGGAGAAGCTGGAGGAAGGATAGAGCTGTTGGAGGCCTCGCTGGGAGTCAGACGGGAGGGGAAGGAGGAGGTAGGGGTGAAAGGCAGATGCTGGCATTTCCAGCTATGCCCATGGCATGTGCAGGAGGCTCGCTGCCACTGACTTCGGTGTGACTGGAACTCAATTTCCCTGCCTGTAAAATGGGGTAGAGGTTGAGTCAGGGCTCTTAAACGTATTTGGATCTGCAACCCCATTTGAAAGATTGATGACAATGTTATGGACAACCTCCAGAGACAAAGACACAAACACACGACTCGGTGCACATGCCATCCACAGGTCGCTCACCTGCCCACCTTCTGCTCTTTACTCACACGCCCTGGTGAGGAGCCTCAGGGGCCCTTGCAGTTCTCACGATGGAAGGCTCTAGACCAGGGGTGGGCAAACTTTTTGACTCGAGGGCCACAATGGGTTCTTAAACTGGACCGGAGGGCCGGAACAAAAGCATGGATGGAGTGTTTGTGTGAACTAATATAAATTCAAAGTAAACATCATTATATAAAAGGGTACGGTCTTTTTTTTTTTTAGTTTTATTCATTTCAAACGGGCCCGGGTCCGGCCTGCGGGCCGTAGTTTGCCCACGGCTGCTCTAGACACCTGCTGAAATTTATCTCTGATTCACTCATTTAGTCAACAAATATTCATCACTGAGCACCTATTCAAATTTTCTGAACCACACCCGAACGTTGGGCCTCGGTTTCCCCATCTGATAGTGGAGTAATGAGTGTGAGGTCACCAATGGGTGGGCTGGGGGAAGAACCTTCCAGAGGAGGTCAGAGGACGGCAAAGGCCACCTGGTGCTGTGTGCTTCCCAGCGCCCACCGGTCCCCCCCCTCCCCCCAAACGCAATTCATGAGACTTAAAGGACAGTGGTCTAGGGGAGTGGTCGGCAAACTCATTAGCCAACAGAGCCAAATATCAACAGTACAATGATTGAAATTTCTTTTGAGAGCCAAATTTTTTAAACTTAAACTATATAGGTAGGTACATTGTTATTAACTTAATTAGGGTACTCCTAAGGCTTAGGAAGAGACACACTCAGGGGCCAAAGAGCCGCATGTGGCTCTCGAGTCGCAGTTTGCCGACCACGGGTCTAGGGGAGTGAGTCCCTTGCCAGGGCCACGCAGTGGGAAGGCTGGAGCTGGGACCTGAACTCAGGACTGTCATGTCTGCAAAGCCCATGTTTTTTACTTTATGTCTTATCCCCATTTCGCCTCTGGGAGCAAGACCCAGTCGGGAAGGAAATCCATGGAGGGTCTGGGTGAAGGAGCCCAGGAGTGGGGTGAGGCTGGCCATGGTGGGGCTCACTTGTCCCCCCACTTCACAGCGGGACAGCGTTGGCGGCATTTGATTCCATGTCCTGGGCTGGGCCCGGGGGCTGGCCCACCGGAGGAT